ATATATATATACATAGATATATATCTATGGTCTACACTGGATGCGGCACGACACGACAAATCCCCGACAGAAAACTGCTGCTGCGTTCTATTCATGATGTATTGACACAAATTTCAAATGATTTTCAGCGGTCGCTTTGTCGCGTCCAGTGTACTAGACAGACTTTAGCTGTTGCGGCGCAGACACGGTGTTACTCACTTATCGAGAACAAACAAAGCAACCTCGGCGTCCGATCGCAGGCCTTCCGCTCCTTGAGTTCTCTCCAGCGCTGGAAAGCTGATCCGATATTTACACGGGTCCTACTTCTTGCCTTCGTTTGTTCCGCAGACGTTTCCTCTTTTGTTTTTTATCCGCCGTCTCTATCTTTCTGTCGTTCGGCTCGGACTGAACGCTCTCTCCTCCACATCATGAGTAGACACGCCCCTTACTGCTGATTGGCTACAAGTTTGTTTTGCTATTCGGCCCGAATCAGTTTTCTAAAGCGTTTTTGAAAAATCGCTTACCCCACCTTTAAAAGTCAACACAAAACAGCATTTACCATTTAAAGTCAACGTGAAACAGCTTTTGCAACTAATTTTACCATTTAAATCAACGTGAAACAACATTTGCTGCAAAATTGCCATTTAAAGTCAAAGTAAATCAGCATTTACCATTTAAAGTCAATGTGAAACAGCATTTGCTGCAAATTTTATCATTTAAAGTCAATGTTAAACAGCATTTGCTGCAAATACTACTATTAAAAATCAACGCAAAACAGCATTTGCCATTTAAAGTCAACGTGAAACAGCATTTGCTGCAAATTTTACCATTTAAAGTCAACATGAAACAGCATTTGCTTACCATTTAAGGTCAACGTGAAACAGCTTTTGCAACAAATTTTACTATTTCTCATAATGTTAACATAATGTAAAAGTTTAACTATTTCTCATAATGTGCTGTATTTCAAATTCAGAGGTGTTATTGAGATGCATTGCTGTTCTCATTTGAAGGTTAGTTTATTTTACCTATCGTGGTGATGACAGTTCCAGCAAAGAAGAAAGCGCTGCCGAGGTCCCAGTGGCTGGAGTTATAGGACGTGTCTCCAATGGGACTCACGCCAGCGCTGACCGCATCTACTGCATGCTGGGAAAAGATGCACATACAGAAAAAGATTCAAACAGCCATTCTTGAAGTGCTTCATTGACAGTAAGTGACCAAAGTATAACAAAATTAGCAAATCATTTTCCAAAGCCATTTCCCCTGAGTCACCCTGCACAATGGCAGCCACTTTAAGAACATCATGCTTCTCAAAGTAATTCATTAGACTTGAATTTAATTGCTAAGTGATGTCAATATGATGTCAAGCCACCTGCTTTGTTTCATTGTCTAAAAAACCTGCACTGAAAATCGGTCTGCTCCGTCTGTCAGTTAATTCGATCAGTTTTTGTGGCTCTTCTCAAACTATTTAAAGAATAAGTAGTATAAATGGATTAGGCTGAGTAAATTTAGTCAATATATCGGTAAGTCCTGAGCAGACTGTGGTGATGCTGTTTTTATGTTAGTCACCCAAATCTTGCTTTTCGTAATCGTAAAGTAGTACAAGATATATTTGTACCCAGAGAAAGAGGGATATTTGTAACAGAAAAGTAAAGGAGTAGAAATTAGCGGTCAGCAATCAATCCATATTTACTACTGCAATAAAAAAGTTAGATGATATCAAAGAGAAAAACACAATAAAACAACATGCTGTCAGCAAGAAAACGGTTTTCTGAGTAATGTTTCTTCTGCTCCCGTAGGACTCGCCAAGCATCCTGGTGGGAAGATTTTTGAGTCAGTCCTTCTCACTGCCAAGAACAACAACACCGACAACAGCCAGCTGGTCTCGCATGACAGGACTGAGGCGTGTCGACATGACAGACACGCCGTGCATCTGATTCTGCTCAGACTAAATGTGAGTTTAAAGGCTCTTTTGAGCTGAATCTTCAGTATAAACATCAGGGCTGTCACAATTCCTAGATTAAATTTGAGTACTTTATTGCATTTTGCCCGTGTCGATGAACCGTCAAAATACTGGAAGTGGCACATTCCATGAACAAAATCCATGGAAAGCATTATTAGACCGTTTTCTAAGGCTTTGCATGTTTTGATGTCCACATGTTCTTGTTCAAGAGGCTGTAGTATTTCTATCTGGCCAAATATTAACGATTAAGTGGACATTTGAATTAAATGTTGTTTAGTCAATATTAATCAAGGATTAGATTGTACTGTAAAGTTTAAAAACAATCGTGAGGCCGTGGGCGCCCTCTGCAGGCATTTGTTATAATGCATAATGTACATTAGTTCTAGTGTTTATAATACATTACCAGCTTTGTTCAATACCATATAATCACTTGCTATACTTTATTTAAACCAATTATTATTCCCTCATTGCTATTATATATGTATTTTAAGTTATTTTAAATGTCTATTTCTATAGGTCTATTTTATTACCACAAAAAAAAATGATCCGATTACTCGATTAATTGTCAGAATAATCGACTATCAAAATAATCGTTACTGACAGCCCTAATAAAGATGCTTTGCATGCCCTACAAAATGTTTGTTTTGGAACCAATTATAGCACATTGTCTCAATTGTTTGTCCTAGACAGCAGTTTGATTAGATAGAGACTTTTGCTTGAGTCTGTTTCCTCTCAGATGTTTCTTCTGAGAAAAATGACCCCATTAATATCATTAATATCCCAGTTTCAGAAGAAGCAAAGGAGATATTAACCCTATAAAACCTATTGTATCATATTTGAAGTGCACATTTCACACATTTTATCCAGTAAAAGCTCTTTTAGTGTAATTGTACAAACGTCCAGCTTCAGCTGGAGCTTCACGTGTCTTTCTGCTGTCAAATCTTGACTGATTTTTATCAAGTAAACATCAGAATAACTGCAGTAATATTTCCAGATGAACACTTACTGGACTGAAGCAGCTCAGCTTTACTTGATTCTCCATCAATCATTTTTTAGAGTCTCAAATCTGATCATCAGGATCTTTTGAGGAGCGTTTGTTTCCAGAAGCTTTACTTTCACTGTTCCTCAGCGGAGGAATGATCTTCACAAGCCTCCAGAACATCTCACATCTTCTGAGGAGACCGACAACAGCCAGCTGGTCTCGCATGACAGGACTGAGGCGTGTCGACATGACAGACACGCCGTGCATCTGATTCTGCTCAGACTAAATGTGAGTTTAAAGGCTCTTTTGAGCTGAATCTTCAGTATAAACATCAGGGCTGTCACAATTCCTAGATTAAATTTGAGTACTTGATTGCATTTTGCCCGTGTCGATGAACCGTCAAAATACTGGAAGTGGCACATTCCATGAACAAGAATCCATGGAAAGCATTATTAGACCGTTTTCTAAGGCTTTGCATGTTTTGATGTCCACATGTTCTTGTTCAAGAGGCTGTAGTATTTCTATCTGGCCAAATATTAACGATTAAGTGGACATTTGAATTAAATGTTGTTTAGTCAATATTAATCAAGGATTAGATTGTACTGTAAAGTTTAAAAACAATCGTGAGGCCGTGGGCGCCCTCTGCAGGCATTTGTTATAATGCATAATGTACATTAGTTCTAGTGTTTATAATACATTACCAGCTTTGTTCAATACCATATAATCACTTGCTATACTTTATTTAAACCAATTATTATTCCCTCATTGCTATTATATATGTATTTTAAGTTATTTTAAATGTCTATTTCTATAGGTCTATTTTATTACCACAAAAAAAAAAGATCCGATTACTCGATTAATTGTCAGAATAATCGACTATCAAAATAATCGTTACTGACAGCCCTAATAAAGATGCTTTGCATGCCCTACAAAATGTTTGTTTTGGAACCAATTATAGCACATTGTCTCAATTGTTTGTCCTAGACAGCAGTTTGATTAAATAGAGACTTTTGCTTGAGTCTGTTTCCTCTCAGATGTTTCTTCTGAGAAAAATGACCCCATTAATATCATTAATATCCCAGTTTCAGAAGAAGCAAAGGAGATATTAACCCTATAAAACCTATTGTATCATATTTGAAGTGCACATTTCACACATTTTATCCAGTAAAAGCTCTTTTAGTGTAATTGTACAAACGTCCAGCTTCAGCTGGAGCTTCACGTGTCTTTCTGCTGTCAAATCTTGACTGATTTTTATCAAGTAAACATCAGAATAACTGCAGTAATATTTCCAGATGAACACTTACTGGACTGAAGCAGCTCAGCTTTACTTGATTCTCCATCAATCATGTTTTAGAGTCTCAAATCTGATCCTCAGGATCTTTTGAGGAGCGTTTGTTTCCAGAAGCTTTACTTTCACTGTTCCTCAGCGGAGGAATGATCTTCACAAGCCTCCAGAACATCTCACGTTTATTTCTCCATCTCTCAATCAGCACTGGATTGCATTGCATTATATGTTTGGATCATTTCAATCTCATTTTACTGAGACAGATTATTGGAGATATAGAGTGACGACTGAGATTTACATCATTTTATGTAAGTAATTGCTCTACTGTTATAAAGATCTCATTGGTTTACATTACAAGCATCAGAATTCCATCACTTTTTGTCCATGTAAATATCAGCATCTGTGCCAAATTGTATATTTTTACTCCGTTTGAGTCTCTGAATAAAACTGAGCTGTTTTTCCTTCATATTCTCACTTCATCAGACTATATGAGCCAAAAAAAGCCTGATCAACAAAAAATACATAAAGGTTCAATTAACTGTTCCATTTCAAAACATTAGATTTTTCGGACTATTATTTCATATGTCAGGCTTTACAGTCTGATTTGTGATTTTTCTGTGAGCAGTTATAGCACACGGACAGGTTTTGCTTCATGTGGACTATGAAGATGTCTGACGCTCCAGCAGGGCTTTGCTCTCAGGAGACTCTGTCTTCAGAGGGACAAACTATTAATAATTGATTATCTCGGAGCCTATTAGCTATCAAGGGGTCCGTTTCAACTGTCTTGACTGGAAATGGAAAATTAAAATTTTTTTTTTTTTTGGTATGAGCTTAATTACCAGATGTAGAGCACACTTTGAGTCACAAAGGATGCTTGCGTGACGTAAAAAGGAAAGAAATGAAGAAGGATGTAGGCGTGTATCAAAGTGACATCTTATCACTTATGCATCCGGTTATTGTCAGGTATGATTGAACTCAGTAAACTAGGTCAGACTGTAGAATGGTCACATGATGATTTAAACATTGAATGTAATGCGTTCATGTGACAGTGTTATTTTAGTTTCACTGATATGCTATTTTAGTTTAATATACTATTTATTATTCATTTTTTTTATAATTGGTCTTCAGTTTAATTTTTTTGTTTTAAAGTTTTAGTAATTTTGTTGTGTGTTTTTGAGATTTATTAATCCATTTTGGGATTAATAAAAAAAACAAGTAAAAAAAACATTTTATTTCAGCTAAAACTATGCCTATACAGTTAATTTTTAAATTGTTAATTTTATTATTATTATTCAGTTTTAGTCATTTTAATACTTCAAATTAAACTAAGCAAAAATGAGAAATGTTTCCTTGGCAAATAGCTGAAATAACAGATTTATTTCAGTATTTTTGCTTTATTTTCACATATTTTCATGTACACACACACACACACACACACACAAATAAAATACAGTATATATATATCTCAAATGGACCATTGACACTCCTAATTGAGATTGTAGATAGAGTGTCAATGGTCCATCTGAGAGATAGGTGGCGGTAATGCACTTATAAGTCTGCGATCCGCCGTAAAGCAAGAAGAAGAAGAAGACACGTCAGACGCCGGCTGTTGAGAAGAACGCGCTCAGGACAGATAGTTCGGACATTGCGGTGAAGACCGATCGCTTTGTGTCTTTACACATCAATGTATCGTCACGAGCCGCAGGGTTTAATTTGGTTTTGTTTGTGTATGTTTTTTTTTATTCTCAAAGCCGTGATTCCCATCCACTTCCATTATAAGACTGACAGACTGCAACGGTTTGAGTTAAAAATCTCCGTTTGTGTTCTACTGAAGAAACAAAGTCACCTACATCTTGGATGCCCTGGGGGTAAGCAGATAAACATCAAATTTTCATTTTTGGGTGAACTATCCCTTTAATAACCCTGGTTTGGCATACTACTATTTGAAACATTTACACATTGCATTCTGCTGCATATGAAGGCTAGTAATCATGCAGTAAAGTATGTAGTATACTAGCTTTCTGTACCATCACTGAACTGTAATCTGTTTATTAGTGACCATCTGCTTCCTTATTATTATAGATCCCTGGACACTCATTTGCATGGAAACGCTTGAATCAGCGAGCCTCAGTTAACCTTGAGATGAAAGTCCCATTTGAGATGACATTTTAATTCTTGATTATAAAGAACTAACCATAATCAATAACCTTTACAGCATTTATTAATATTAAACATGAACTTATGATACATACAGGACTATGTTTTCTCAGCCTGTTATATAATGGAAATGTTTCCCAACCATCTCATCCACCCTTCCAGTAATTCCCAGGCTGACTATGTAGGATGTGCTGTGAGAAATCAATGCAAAGCTTTAATTGATGGCAGCACATTTGCTTTCCATATATGTGAGATATATGTGCTCTCTGTTATGTAACAAGTGCTGGTGCTTTACCACATACACAAAATTCAGCCTAAAGTGAGTTTATGCTGGCAGAAGTGAGAGCTGATAATCCTGATGATGGCCAACGGGATTCATGTCTGTTTCAGAATGACATTTACTGATCGGCCGGAGGAAACTGCAGAGGAGATGTGTGGTTGAGGAAGGATGTTGCATAGCTGGAAAATGCTCATTTTGTGTCTTTAGATATACTACGATGCGAGTGTCACCAAAGAAGCCTTTACAATGAATCCTGCTTTAAATATCAATCTACTTTATGGCATTGAATGCATTCTTTATAGGTAATGTCATATTTTGCCCCAAAATCAAATGAAAAAAATAAGAAAAATTATATTTTATTACACAAGTTTTTAGGACCATTAAGACTTTATGTATTGTGAAATTGATTTCATGAGAATTTATCTTATTTTTCCCCCAAAATTTCACTCCAGTAATGTATCTCTTGGCTTTACTTGATTCTCCATCAATCATGTTTTAGAGTCTCAAATCTGATCCTCAGGATCTTTTGAGGAGCGTTTGTTTCCAGAAGCTTTACTTTCACTGTTCCTCAGCGGAGGAATGATCTTCACAAGCCTCCAGAACATCTCACATCTTCTGAGGAGCCTTTATTTCTTCATCTCTCAATCATCATTGCATTATATGTTTGGATCATTTAAATCTCAGCTTACTAAGACATATTATTGGAGATACAGAGTGACGACTGATATTTACCATTTTAGCGTCTCGTGAGCTGAATATTTCTCTGATCTCATGATCTCACCTTGATAAGGGCCTCGAGCTCGGCTGGAGAAACACAGGGGTTCCTCTCCAGGAACAGAGCCTTCTCCTGCGTGATGTTGTCCTTCTGGTTGCTCTCGAAGGGTTGCTCCAGTGCGCAGAAGGCCAGACCGCCGCACACCAGGTACGTCACCACCACCACAAACACGGCCACCACCGTCTTCCACTTCATGACCAAGTGCAGCGCAGCACCGTCTGCACCCGCGTCCATCCCCGTCACCACGCTGGCCGAGCGGGACGAGATGGAGAGGCGCGGGAGAGCGCAGTGACCGTTAGCTTTGATCTCACAGCCCATCGGGTTCTGCATGGCTGCTACGCTGGCCTGAACCAGACTGGACTGGACCGCACCAGACTGGACCTTCTTCGGAGGGACAATGTTTGTCTGAACAGCCACTAAAAAGAGACAGAGACAGACAGATGGAGAAGATAAATGAGTTATTTGGAATTATTGCAACCAGAATGAACATTATATTACATAGATCTTTTAGTTTTTACTGCTTACAAAGACCTAAAGTAGGTTTTTGTCTCAGACAGGATTATTATTGTTAACTAAAACTAAAACCAAAACATTTTTGTTTTATTTTTTATTTCATAAAAAATAAAAATAAAAACATTTTATTTCAGCTAGTTGTTTAGTTTAATCTGATGTACTAAAATAACTAAAACTGAAATAAAAATAAAAATAAAAAGTTTTACTAAAATTAAAGTGAAAACAGAAAATATAAAATCTAATTCAAAATATTAACAAAAATTATAATATGATGCTAAAATAACGCTGGTCGCTATTTTATTTATTAAAATACACATAAATGAGACAAATATTAGTATAGAGCTCATTTTATGTTGATAGCATCCTAGATTATTGTTCTGAAAAGATATTGATGAGAAATATTTGAGTTCATATTGAGATCTCTGACTTTTGATTGCAGAATTGGCAGATCTGAGAACAGTTTGAGACATTCTGAAATTCTAGACGAGATGTCAGAATAATGGGATTGTTTTTCTGAAGACTTCAGTAAAAGTCTCTGTTTGCTCTCCATTTCATTTCACTTCTGTCTAGAAGAACTGAGATATTAAAGAGAACCTTATTTGTAATTATTTTCCTGTGAAAATATATTTTCTGCAGAAATATATATTCTACTTAGTTATATTTTACGATGTAAATTTTTTTACCATCTACAATGTTTTTGACTTTTAAAACTTTAAGACTTTAGAGCATTTATTCTTTTTGCATTGTGAAATTGTTTTCATGAAAATAAAATTAATTTTCCCCCAAAATGTTCATTACAGGAATATGAAAAAGGAGCTATTATTGAAATTGTATTATTGAATAGAAATTATAGTATTATTTGTCATACTGCCTTATTTCAGCTTTAATTGTTTAAAAATATATATTTTTATTACAATATATATATTTGTAATTTTTCAAAATTAAGATTATTGGAGTATGTTTTACAAGAAGATACTATTTCAGTCTTTATACTTCAAAATTTCATGTTTAATTTAATGTGTTACTTGCCATTTCTTTGTAATTATTTGTGAATTTTACTAGCAATTTCTGAGTGAAAATTGTTTCTACACCATTTTTTTTCCAGTGTATATGAAATATAGTGTTATATATATTTAATTTCCTATGTGGTATTTTTTACCGTGTTAAACAATACAGAGTGCAATTGAATAACAGTTCATAATCACAGAGCATGCATGAAGAAGGTGTTATAATTCAGTCCATTAGTAACATGAGTTATAGATCCTGAAGTGATCTTCTGCGAGTCTCATGAGAAGCTTTAATCTAATCGTCTGGTTAAGCAGCAGCGAGCACTCAGAGAAGCTCTCCAGATTATGTCTTTACCACTGTAGAGAGATGCTCTCACAAGATAACATATTTCTTTTTCTAAGGTGTTATGGCGTGTTATAGTGTGGCCTTATCGCTCATGAACGGGGTGAATCAGCACAAGGTGAGACAGATGATATCTTGAGGAGGACAAAGCCATGCAGGGTCCCTACTGAGAGTCATTCATGTGTTCATATGAGCGCAGCTGCGTTCAGTCGCCCCGTTTAAACATTCAGCGTTGCCTTTGTGGGGGACAGTGGGCGGAGCCTGTGAGTCACAATGATGTAATGCTCAAACCACCCCATAATTTATGCAGGCCACGCCCCTCAGCATGCTTCAGTACAATCCCTTTGTAAAAATGAAACAGAAAATGTTGCAAGTTTGGGATTTATGAAAGATCACATGCATTAAATGTAGCGATTCAATAGACTGAACTTGCATGTGCATGTGTTGTATTGCCTAATAATCAATAAATGCACTTGAACAACCATAAATTTTGACTTTGAGTGACTCAGGGACATCACTATATCTGAGACATAAAAGCTGTCAGTCTAGCCCTCGCAAATCAATATCCAATCAAGTAGATATACAAACATTGATGAACGTGTCCATGAAAATTTAACAAGAACAATTCAATGAAAATATATACAATAGCCCTTTCTGATATATAAAATACATTGATTACAGTAATGACAACATGATTTTTAAAACACTCAGAGAAAATGAAATGGTATATATTTGCAATGTATAACTTGAAAAACGCCTGGATCATGCTTCATAAAAA